AGAGAGAGAGAGAGAGAGAGAGAGAAAGGAAAAAAAGAAATACACTTGCGCCTCAGCACAGCACATTCTTAAAAAATATAACAAAAGATGGAAGAATGAAATCCAAAAGATTGCAAACAAAAACTATACTTCACAAAAAGTTGACAGTTTAACATTATTGTTCTTCACATTTCTTAATACATATGGAAATTTTTTAACACAGAAGAGCAATCGCAATACATTAAATGTAACAAATAAGTACTTAAGTTTTACAAGCATACAGTACATATGTTTGAAAGCATAAAAAAAAGATGACCACTCTGTCAGTACAAATCACATAAATTATTATAAATAGGAATAAGAAGCAGAAATAAATTCGCTGTAGGATCAATACCAATCTGAATCGTGCAATTGGTACCGTTAGGGGTTCATAATGATGAATTAAGCACAAAAAATTGTCACATGAATAGGGACAATGACTAGGAACTATTTTTTCAAAGAGTTTATTTCACCTCCATTCTATTGTGATTGAAACTGCTGTTGAAAGAGTTTGCAACCACATGAAACAACTGGCTGCGGCACATGAGCATGGTCCATGGCTGAACCACATTCATGCCACCACAAACACCTGCCCAAATGCTTTTACACCTTCATTTCTACAGAACTGTTGACTGATTGACATTATTTCTTAATAATTATTATATGCATTATACTTGTCATGTAGAATTCAGCAACTAAATGTACTAAACATTATTCTTATGTAATTTGTCATGAGCTATTTTAAACAATAGGTTGCAAAGAGATTCATGTAACACTAAGGAGCAACTGCTAAAATCAGAAAAACAGTTGCATAATAATATTCAACAAATTATTAAATATATAGTATACATGCAATTTGTTTAACGAAAAAGAAAACTCCTGCAAATTGGGGTTATCTGAATTTTTTTTAATATATATATTTTGAAACATCAATAAACATTTTTCTTTGTTCCAGAATAATAAACTAGAATATTAATGTACAAAACGAAATAAAAAGTTTTTTATCTTTTGTGACCAAAATGACTCAAAGTTGCTGAGAAAATATCTAATTTTACAAAATGAATTTTCATTTGAGAATATTTTTCTTTTTAGAGAGCACATTAATATGATCTGGTTGTCTTTATACACATTCTAAGCCCTTTAAATTAAAAATTATTATAAAAAAATGTATAAAATTTGGGTGCGCAAAACCCACACAAACTCAACATTACTGTAACATACTGCAACTTTTGCAGTCGATAACCATGACAATCACGTGATGAAAAATAACAATCATCCTGATACACCACAAGCAATACTACTTTCCCTGCAATAATGAGAAAAATTGTTTCTCTTTTATGATTATAAGTCTATGTTCAGTGTTTGTTATATACCTAAGTCTTAATTATAATTTTTATTATGTCATAATCACAATACTAATTTCAAAAATATATTTAACCAATTACTAACTCCATCTGCATGTTCCTTTATTGTTCTCCACTGAAACGAAGTAAACATCCTAGTCTTACAGTCTTTATAGTAGTAAGGAAAGTATATCTATTTTATACCCTCCAGACAAACAGGGAGGTGTTGTGTGAACCACACTTCAGTTAAAACAAAAGTGAAAAACACATAATATTTCATATTTAAAATAAAAATAAAATACTCTCCTTTACTAAAAAAAAAAAATGCTCAAAATGATTTCAGTAAACAGAAAAAATAAATATTTTTAGACTGACAAGTCATGGATAAAGATCATTAGCAATGCAATTGCAATGTAAACATATAATTGTGATGTCATACACCTGAAGTTGTACTATTACTAGATTTAAACATAAAATTTTGAACTTCTTGAACATGCATTTCTGTAATGCATACCAAACTCAGAAGAATAATAAATCCTACGTACTGCAAAACACACAAAAATTCCCACAACTTGTCACAAAATATAGCAATAAGCATGGCATGTAAATAAGAATGAGGATTAAACACTCTCCATAACCACGTGACTGTCCACATAAGAGATGATCTAAATGCTTGAACTTGACAATCAGCCTGTTCTTCACTCACATCTTGACGTTCCAACAAATTCTGATACAAAGCAAGATATCTATTCCATGCAGTTGAGCTCAACAACATTTGAGCTCCGATACACCCTAACTTATGAAGGACTTTTTTAGAAGTAATTTTACCTTTATATGTAACTCCTGTACCAACATCTTTTGAAACATCAACAACTTGGGGTATGATTGTTTGCAGTTGCATATAACCTCTGCGTGGAGGATTATTTTTTAAATATACTAGACATCCCACAAGAAGGGCAACAGTGCCCAATGCATCACACATTCCATCAACAAAGAAACCAACGCTACCTATTTCAGAATTTTCCCCGTGAACATTTTTCCGTGCTCGAGCAACATGTCCATCCAGCTCATCAAGCAAGCCACGAAGCACAAACAAACCCACTCCCACTCTTCGGTATATTAAAGAATCTGATGCAATGCATTTTGCAGAAGCTATAGCAACCAAAACATGAAATGCACTTATCATATTTGGAGTAATATAATATATCTTGTGAATTCCAAACACTTTATCAATTATTGTTGCCATCGGACTAAATAAATACAGATTTGGATGATCTAACATCATCGACTTCACTGTAATATCACACAATGGGGAGAGATCACATGAACCAAAAAAATCAGAATTTATACTTGAATTATCCACGATCCTTCTCAGTGGATAATTTTGAATACGATAGTACTGATTTGCATCCATAAATAAAAAGTAAATCACCAAGAGAAGCATGCAGCATACCAATATCTTACTGAACAGTGATGATGGGCCTACCATTTTGTGGTTAATTTTAATTGAATTCAACTTTCAACATGAAGCAAACCGCTTGTCACTGAAAAAAGGTTTACACACGAACAATGAGGTGTTGATCAGTAAACCTAATCCAGAAGAAAAACACAAAAGCATACCTGCGGAACTTGTGTGCTCTTCCCACACCCTGTATCACCAACCAGCACCAATGTTTGGTAATTTTCAAGAAGATACAATATATGATTTCGGTTGTTAAAAATTGGAAGCTGTTTACGTTGCTGTTGCAATGTCAATGAAATGTAGGGATTGTATACAAATGCTGTTGCATGATTTGGATCAATATCCAATCTGTCTTCCAGCCACAAAGGGTCAGCTGTAAGTGAAATAAGTTTCAAATTTTACTGATCCACTAAATTAATCAAGAAAATGGGTATAACAGATCTTGCAGATCTTTTACCTGGCTTTAAAAACTGTGGTTTAGAACATGAAATCATACTCCTATCTGCTGCAAATCATCTGAAAACAGACAAATTTAACTTCAAACTAGTGGTAATGACATTTCAGCAAATCAATTTCAAATTTGTTTGTACATTATCATATATGTTATTCGTTTCAAATCAATAAATTTGCCAAATTTCTTGTACTTTTGATAGGCTCCTTAGGTGAATATTTGTTTCGCCTATACCTGGTATCTTAGAAAAGATAAGATAATAACTATCATGTGATCGACATCACACAAGAATATTCATCCTTACAATCACAATTCATAGGAAGATTTCGGCATTCTCGGAAGGCGATCCTTGAAGTTCTTTGGATACAAAAGTACAAATAAAGGAGACCAAGCATTCATTATGACGGGGCTATTTAGCTATATACCAGCACATAAAAACATCACAATCTTAAAATTCACTATTTTATTTTAAAATACGTTCATCGCTTACATGAGTTGAGGTAACACGCCCTTTCCTTGGGATATCTGTCAAACTCCAGTATTCGTATTCGACTCCAGTTTTAAAGAAACAAGAATTCCATTGTCAACTTCCGCGTTAAAACACGCCACAGAGCACCAACACGTTTGTTTATGACCCGCACTACCTGTCGCAACCTGCGCACTAGGTACCGTGTTTACTATATTCTTTCCCGTCAAGGGGTGTAGGCGGGGCAACACACCAGGCACTGCAATTAAAGTCGAGACCGCGTGGTGCGCTACCGTCGAATGTGTAGATTAGGGATTGCCAACCCTTTTGTCGCGTTTAGCTCATTTAAAACAATGCCACGGAAAATCACAGAATTTTTATAAGTTAATTAAATTTAAAATTGATTTTCCTTATCACATTCTAGATGTTTGTTTGTTGTAATTGAAATGTAAGTGAATTGCGCACATGCGTGAACCATTACTGGACGATTAAAAATCTTGGCCGACTTCATACGCAGTGAGTCCAAGCATTTAATTGCAGTACAGCGTAGCATTTAATTGCATAATACCAGGGGGCGAGATCCAATCTTCAAGTAAATTTAAAAAATTATATTAAGACATTTCATTTCTTGGATTTTCAAATTTATAAATTAAATGTACGTGTTTCTGTAGTTTGAGAATAATAATAATAATAATAATAATAATAATAATAATAATAATAATAATAATAATAATAATAAAGCGAACAATAATTTTATTAAGCTGAAATAATAACATACATTAATACATTGGTGAAGTTTAGTTGAGTATTATAAAACGCGCGGAATAATGTTCAGCGTTGTGAATATTCCTTATTAAAATCCTCATTCAAGTATAATTATTTTCTTTTAAACGTTATTTACTTAGGAACTAAACAGTTTCGGGCCTAAAACCATGAGTTATTCACTCAACTTTTAACTCTCGGAAAGAAAGATATTTCCCGGTTATTATAGAAATAGAGTTGTGAAGGTGGTGATGTGAGCAATTTTTATAATGAGCTTTCTTGGTATTGCGCGAATTGCGTCATTTGCCCTTCCCCCTCCCGAACTGGACGGTTCCGGGTTATTCGCGAGTCGCGTAGAAATGTGGAGTAGATGCCGGGTGTGTCGATCTGGTATAAATTCGCCGCTGCCGGCGGCCGCTAGTTGCAGACAGAGTAGTCAGCCACGCAGAATGCATACACGAGTCAGTAAGTAGTAGAAGTAGCAAGCAGTCAGTCCGTCAGTGTAAGTATGCAGTAGTCTGTCTGAAGTGGAAGCTGAGCTGTTAAGTGTGCATTGCGGTGAACAGTGGTGCAGTGGATGAACAGCAGTCTGAAGTCTGCAGTGGAAGCTGAGCTGTGAAGTGCGCATCGCAGTGAACAGTGATGTAGTAGGGGAAGAGTAGTCAGCAGTTTGAAGTCTGCAGTGAGAGCTGCGTTGTGAAGTGTGTATCGCGGTAAACAGCAGTGCAGTGGACCCTGGTCTGGGCAGTGAATTGTTGTCTGCGCAGATAATTGTGGTCAGCGCAGTGGACCGTGGACAGTGCATCGGACTGTGCGATAGTGTAGAAGAAATGAACAGTGTAAATAAATAATCAGAAGAGGTGAACTGTGTAAATAATTAATCAAGAGAACGGAGTCGTGTGTAAGAAAAATAATCAAGTGAAGAACACAACATTTTTGTTAAAGTATATCGTGTGTGTGTGTGTGTGTTTTAATTCACCACGAAGAACTCCTTTAGCCATCATAGCACCGTGGTTTAGTTGTAAATGAGAGTTAGTGTGAGGTATTCGTGTTTTCTCGGTTCTTAAAGCTTTAGAAAGTAAGTCTTTGGCTTTTAATTGTAGTTTGAGTTTGCTTAGACTGCTTCTAATTCTTAATTAATGAAATACAATTTGTTTTAAACAATGTTTTATGCATACAATCTGTCATTTCAAACGTTTCAAAGATCGTATGAAATATCGTACGCTCGTATTACATACACATTTTGTGTTCCTACTATTTTTGTTTTAGATGCCATGAATGGTTCTAGGCCACCAAAAAGGATATAGTGGTGCTACGGAATGGCATAGACTCTAGTATTAGTTATTTATTTTCTTTGGTCTGGGCTAGCTATTCGAACTTGACACACTCTTGCTAGCTGCCATCTATCGCCGCCCATAGAACTGTTTAAACGTTTCTCAATTTTCCGATTTCCTAATTGTACAACTAAAATATTACATTAAGTATATTGACGAAGAGTAAAACTTATTCCTAAATGGCAAATTTTCATTGAAAACTTTGGAGATATTTTTAAGAAAACGGCGTTTAAGCGTTAGTATAAATTCGAAACTTGAAACTCTTTTTCGCAGATTTTTTTTGAGTTTTCGAAAAACTTAATTGGAAGTAATTTAAAGAATCTTTACTCAGAAATGTAATAGTGTTTACAAATTACTGGAAATGTGCACATTAAAGGCGTGAGAGATATTTCTAAACTATTACATATGTGTAATTTTTGAAGTAGCAAAAGCATACAAAAAAATAATTTTATGTCATAATAAAGAGTGCAATTAGCATTATCCGCAGTTTGAAGCAAAACATTGGAGCAGTTTTTAAGAAAATGGTGTTTGAATGTTTCTGAAAATTCTGAAATTTGAGCTCATTTGAACTCGCAGAAAGCAGTTGAGTTTTCGAGAAACTTTATATGACACCATTTAATGTTCATAAATACAAATTGTGTGCTCATATGCAGAAATATTAACAAATCGCACCTAATGTATATACTAACGTCGTGAGAGACAAGTTCAAAAATACATTAGTGTAATTCTCTCTTTTTTTTAAAAAAAAAGAGCAAAATAGCTTTTACGTCATCTTATGGGCTAAATTTAACACTATTAATCCCAAAAGTTTAAAGAAAAAATCTGGAGCCGTTTTCTAGAAAATATTTTTGATTTTTCTTATTATTGCTCATATCAGACGTAATATTGCGTGAAAACTAATAAAATTTAAGTGTTAAGACAAAAATAGCAGCTGTTTTTAAGAAAATTGTTTTGTTTTTTTTGATATTGCAAATATCGCTCGTAATATTGCGCGGAAACTACTAAAAGTTCAAAAACCTGTACGTACGTTTAATGAAAGAATTAATTATGGTCAATTTCCTTCAATTTCATTTGAAGGAAAAATATCTATCTTCACTTTTGAATTTGTAGGAAGACGCCGAAAAAATTCCATATTTTTGAAATTTTCGAGAATTCAGAATTAACCCGGAAAATCGAACTTAAACCACCTTTATAGGTGTAAGCTACTCCATTCTTACAAGAAATTTAAAGTAAAAATTTGGAGCCATTTCTGAGAACATCTACACTACTTAAAGAATTTCCCTCCTTAATTTAGCAACTGAATTTATCGTTTATATTTTTCATTTACAGGGCCCGGAAGTGAATTTTTTCTTCCGAAAATCCGTCGTTTTTCGACGTTTAGTTTTGTATTTCCTTGCAAGCTATTCCAACTTGCGGCATACTCTTGCATGCTGCAATCTATCGTCGCCTTACGTTTTTTGAAATTTTATTAATTTTTACTTTTTCTAGTAGTAGGATAGAAGTGTAATTTTAAGTATATTAAAGAACAGTAAAACCTAGTCCTAAATGACAATTTTCTTTGAAAAATTTGAAGCGTTTTTTAAAGAAAATGCGCTTAAGCGCTGATACAGTGGATTCGAAATTTGAAGCACTTTTTCAAAGAAAATTTTTGAGTTTTCGAAAAACTTCAATTCAAGTCATTTTAAGCACATTAACTCATAAATACAATAGTTTACAAATTGCTGGAAATGTGCATATTAATGGTGAAAAAGATCTTTCAAAAAAAATTACATTTGAGTAATTTTTGTAAAAACACAAACAAAAAGATACTTCGACATGAACTTAATTTAATATTAATGGGTACAATTAGCACTATCCGATCGAAAAGTTTGAAGAAAAAATTATTAGCCATTTTTGAGGAAATGGCGTTTGAGCGTTTCTGAAATTGCGAAATTTTCAGATAGTTTTGACAGAAAACCGTTGAGTTTTCGAGCTTTATATGACAATATTTTAAACACATGTACTCATTAATATAATAATGTGAACAAACTGCTAATGTAAATATAAACGACGAGAGAGACAAGTCAAAAAATTATTGTAATTTTTGAAAATACTAAACAGCAGTATATTTTATGTCATCTTATAGAATATATTTAGTATAATACCTACTATTTTTAAAAAAAATGGAATTGTTTTTGAGAAAATCTTGTTTTTGTAATTTTTTTAAAAATTGCACAATTTGCACGTAATATTGCAGAAAAACTTCTAAAATGAAAAAAAAGTATATGACTTTAATGAAAGAACAAATGATGGACAAAAAAATTATTTGAAGGAAAAATCTCAATCTTTAATTCTGTACATAATTTTTAATCTTTAAATCTGTAGAAGACACCAAAAAAAATTGAAATTTTCGGAAATTGAGAGTTAACTGTGAAAATGGACCTTTGTTACCTATATAAATGTATTTTACTCTATTACAAGAAATTTAAAGAAAAAATTTGGAGCCATTTTGAGAAAAGTTTGAAAATGTCCCAGGGGCTGAATGTAAAGTACCCCGAAAAACTAATGAATGATTTTCAAAATCACAGAGCATCGACTCAGACCAAATGCACAGTGGTTTCTTTAAGTTGAAAAAAAAAATACTACGCTTGGTTTAGGCGCTAGTGATGTTCACATACACCACATGGACGGACAGACTGATGGATGGACGTTTTGAAAAAAAAAATTGGTATTAGGTGACCCCAAAACCTATATTTCTGTTGAAATCTCGAAATTGATTTTCCGCGGCATTACATAACTTTCCCTATATTACGCTTATTACTTATATACGTTCGTATTCGGGAAAATAAAAAAAGGATTAGCTGCGCTAATGTATATGTTCAGGAGCGCGATTCAGAGAGGGGAATCGACGGCAAAGCCCAGCCCCCCTCCCCCGCTAATGTTGGAACAATTTTTTAAAATATATATTTGGACATTTCATTTCGGGGATCATTAAATTTGTATTAAAAAATATTTACTTTTTCTGTATTTTGAGAAAAGAGTATTAGAGTATGTGTGAGTGTGCGTGAGCGCGTGTGTGCGGATCCGTCACTTATGGTTAGACCACTTTCCGTGCATGAGGTGTCATTCGATGCGCCTCGGTCTCCTGGTGGGGAACTGATCATTTGTTTCTGGATACGGCCAGGAGATTCT